TTTATCCATTTAGTCCATTTATAATTTTTTATTGGTAATGGCACAATGTAAGATAATATCATTGTTACCCTCAATATTTCTTAAATTAATTACACCATCTTTTTAATTATTAGTAAATATCATTTTACTCCTCTCACTTATAAACTTGTTTATATTGATGCATTCAATTATAAAAATTATACAAATACACCCTTCTGAAGTTGGTATAAAGAGACTGAATTTAATACATTTTGATAATTGTATGAGTCAAAATATACTAAATTTACATATAAGAAGATAAATGGATATTCACAAATAATTTTTAAAAAAAAAATCTTAATACAATTAACAACAATGCTACCATCCCAAAACCAAAAACCCATCAAAGTCTAAGAATTTTACATTAGTGATTAAGATTCACTTAAAGTGTAATCCTACAACAATGTGTCTGTTTGGTAGAGTTTATTTTCAACTTAAATCCGTTTATAACTTAAAATAAGTAATTTTGAAGTGTTTGATATAGCTTTTTAGAGATTGATAATAGCTTATTTTAAGTGATTTTCAGCTTTAAATCTCCAAGCTGGCTGAGAGGTGCTTACAGAAACAACTTAAGCAAACAGCTGAGTTTTGAAGGGATAATGACTTAAATGCCTCTCATATACTTCAAATATTACCAAAAAACCAATGTATAAATCCACAACCAAATATTGTTCACTTCCTCACACTGAGAGAGAGTGTGTGAGATGTGATTTCCAGTGGCTTGAGACCATATCATGATCTCTCTCTCTCTCTCTCTCTCAAACTGCCCCTCGAATATATATATATATATATGTGTGTGTGTGTGTGTGCGCGCGCGCGCGCGCGCGTGCCTCATTCTAGAATCAAACCCTAACCCTCACTCTCTCTCTCTTTCTCTCTCCGCACTCTCTCTCTTTACAATCTGAACCGCAGCCTCTTCATCTGCCTCACCTGCATTACGATAGTCGCCTCTGTCACCTCCTTCCCACATTCTCCCCTGGGTGAGAATGTAACACAAACCTAGATCTCTCCTTCTCGTTTCTCTCACCGACTGTTGTTTTTGATTACATTTTAAGACACTGCCCTGCCTTTGCGGACCGTCGCCGCTGCGTCGTAGCAACATATTACTGCTTTGTCGCCATTGCTGTCGTGTCATCATCGCTAAGCTTCTCTCTCTCTCTCTCTCTCTCTCTCTGAAACTACCTCTCGATCTAAAATGGTGATGATAATGATGACGATCGACGGCGTGATGATCTGATGAGCTCTCTCTCTCTTCCCGATTGCCGCAAAGAATGAGCTTGAGCTTTCTCTCTCTTTCTCTCTTTGTAATTGTAGCTAGGATTTTGCAGGGGGCTTCTGGCGTGGGATGAGGAGGGGAAGGAGAAGAATGGGGTTATCGACTAGGGTTTCTTGCAGATCACCGACGGTTGCTAGGGTTTTGCAATTTATATCCATTAAATAAATTACACAATTTATTTCACAATTAATATTGATATAAATTGCACAATTGCACAATTTAAATAAAGAAATTATTTCACAATTTATTTCAATTAATATTGATATAAGTTTATTTCAATTAAATAACTTCTATTAAAATAATTTTATAATTAAAATAAATTGTTGCTAATTGATATTAATGAAAAAAAAATTGAAATAATAAAAAAATGAACTAACAATTGTTGTAATGAAATGCATCAGTTTTTATATTAATTGATACTAATTATATTAATTTTCATTAATTAAACAAAAAAAATTTAATTAAAACTAAAGAAAATGAAAAAATAACAATTTTTATATCTTATAAGAGCGAAAACGACATTACACATCAAAAAACTATTTTATAGTTTATTCAACCAAATACTATTCTGTTGATTAAATCAATAATCCCACAGCTATACTAAACAGGTTAACAATTTATATTTAAAGCTTTAATTTATAATTTGTTAAACCATAATCTATAATCACTTTTTCACATCTACACCAAACAGGGCCAATATCTTTTAAGATGCACCATGTCAACTTTTTGAATATTTTTCTAGAACCATGACTTTTTTGTATAATTAATTCATTATTTTTTTGGGTAATGTTATGGTACACACTCTTCAAAAGGTGTGTATCATATATACTATTATTACGTATTTTTATTGTGTATATTACGCATTTCTATGATAAATATTATGTATTTTTTTTATATAATCAAAAAAATTTGTAGTTTAGAAATAAAATCATGCATTTTTTTGTTAGAAAATATTTGGATACAACAATGTAGCATTAATACAAAAATGCTTATCATTACAACAAAATACGTAACTTTATTTTTGAATCACAAATTATCATAACTGTTATCACAAAATTATGTAATATTCACTACAAAAATACGTAACATACGTCATCAAAATATATAATATGGTATATATGATACACATTTTTTGAAATGTAAAAAGGCCTAACTACAAAAGGATAACCACTGGGGTTAAATCCTATTAGGAGTTGTGTTCATCCTTAGATGGTTGCTACATAACTGGGTCACTCAACCATATAGCGGTAATTTACGAACTCGCACATAAACGAAAATACGAACTCACACTCCTGACACTGGGTACGATTCGCTCAAGTTTGAAAAGTTCATCCTACCAATCATATATGTTGTCGCTTGAGTGGTTGACTCTAAAAAGAGTGGAACCTGAGATCTCAAAACTTATGTCCCAAAGTCTTACCCGAACGCCACACTCCTTTAGATTTATTTTATTTTATAAGGTATGTACCATTGTATTCTCCTCTTTTGTTTAAGGGGGAGGGGAGATAATTTCATTTCAGTGGATGTGTGGATAAAAATCTGACCACACTGCCCGCCTAGTAATCAACTGGAGAGCACTGGCAGAATAGATGGCTTCAGCTAACTTGTAACAGAAAGAAAAGGCTCCGGCGGTGGTTCTTCCACCCGGGGGCACTCCGACGATCAAGTCAGTATTTCTCTCAAAGATAATCAGGTGCTAAACTTAATGCTCAAAACATAAATTGCGTACCTTAGACCCACGGGGGTGCCTCTCTTTTATAGTTTACTCAATTTAAGTCCCACTAGAAACACGACTTCTATGAACTCCAATTCAGTGCTTACTTTGGATTCCTCAAGGGATAAAGATAAACTCCTTAAGAGCTTTATCCTTATCTTGACTAAGTCTCCTCTTTGTCCTAGGACTCTTGTTCCTTATCCGCTTATCTCGGATTCCGATATCTTCGGAGGTAACCTCGGCAACTCCGAGATCACCTCGGCGTAACTACCACGATATGTGGCACCTCGGCTGACACGTCGGTGTTACCATGCCACGCGTTGGTACTCAGAAAATATATCCCGACAACTGCCCCCTAGGTTCTATTACCTTGGCATTCTAAGGTGAAGGAACCTATATCGATATTCCTTTCTGTATATTTGGCTCAAAAAACTGTTTAGCCGAGATCATTCATTTCAGGCTGACGTGTTCTCTTCGGAGAACAAGAATTCAAATGAATCCCTTCATGCGTATGAGCTGTCATACATCAATTTTCAACCGTTTTACTCACGCGTTATATCCTTATTGGCCCGTGTTCGTGACGCGCCTGTAAGCCGTCTTTCCTCCGTCTGCGCCGTCTGACGCACGCGTTTCCCCAGGCGCAATAAATGCCCTGTTTTGCCGCCGTTTCAAGTTTTTGATAAAACCTTTCTTTCTGTCTTCTCTCCTTTACTTTATGCATTCGAATTTCTGGCTCTCTCTCTCTCTAAACTTTCTCAAATCCACCATTGTTCTAACTCCAAGCTCTACAATCGTCTTCATTCCTCCATTTCAGCGAAGCATTCGCCATTCTGTTGTGTCTGCAATTGTTGCCCTACCTCGGCGACTTTCATTCCGGCTCCATTTGTTCTGGTAAGATTCTGTTCCTCTTATTCCTAATTTCTTCTATGCGCTTTTGTTTACTTGCTGCTATTTTTGTTTTGTTCAAACCTTGGATTGTTCATCTGGATGTGTTTGTTCCATGATTTTGCTCGTATCTTGAACACTTGCACTATTTTAACACTTTTCTTGTCACAGTTCTTGACTTGTTTTACTTCTGTATTTCTTTCCCTTTTGAGAACCATACCTCTATTTGTTGATTCTGAAACGTCATTCTGTGTTTGTTTTCTGTTTTTTCTTTCCAGATCTCTATCTTTAATTCTTGCTTTTCAATCTTTGCTTTCATAGTTTTAGGTTTGGGATTTGTCTATAGAACCTTTAATTTTTAGGGAAAACTAAAACAAACCTTATCAGTCCTTACCTAGGGCTTTGCCGAGTTTCCAATAACCCTTTAAGAGCACCTTCTTTTTGAAACCTAGCCTTATGAACTTAGGCCGATGTTATGGGTATGTGGAGACATAGGGTAAACACCCCAACCAACTCGAATACTTTAGGCAGGAGTTCTCCATCCCTGCCGATGTTCACCTCAGGCTAGCTGAGGATGACGATTCCATCATGCCCACAGATCATACGATGCCCTTTCCTATTGTAGCCTTTACTGAATGTGGACTTCGGCTTCCACTTAATCCCCTTTTTCGCGAAGTTCTCCACTACTATAGGTTGAACCCTATGCAACTTGCCATAAACTCTTATCGAGTGATTTTTGGTATCATCGCCTTAGCTAGACAAGAAAACGTTAGAATCACCCTTGTCGATATACAATATTGTTATACCATGTGTCCACTTAACCTGAAGGAAAAAGGTTACATCTACTACCTCAAGCCGAGGTCCACCGAGTTCAAAATTGTAGCTGACCTCCCAGACTCCAACAAAGGAGTCGGGGATGACTTTGTTATTGCTTCGGGAAGTTGGGAATTTGGCCCAGACGAAAATGTTCACCTCTACCCTCTTCCTTGAACAGTTAAAGAGGGCAAGGGTAAGAGCCCAGCGTCAATACCTAGTTGTTTCTTTTCAAGTCTTCAAAACTTTATCTGTTTCTAATGTCTGTTTGTTTGTTCTGCAGATCTTCATCAGCCACCAAAAAACTTCCCAAGCAAAGACCTGAAAAAGCTCCTAGATCTTCCCATCCAGAGGCGCAAGGCTCCACTGGTGCTGAACTTTATTCCAACATACAAATTAACTCTGCCCGACGTCCTAAAAAGAAAGAAGAAGAGCCTATCTCCTCCCTCTGCTACTACTCTTCAAACAGTATCAACATCTCGGGCTGACCAAGGGTCAACCTCTGATCCAGCCAGCCAACCATCAACTTCTGCCCCATACCTAATCCCAATACCAGAAAGAAAACGTCGGCGAAGACTCGTAAAAACCGCCGAGATGGTTCGCCCAAAGCCTGTCGCCCAAGATCTCCTAGTCGATCTTCCAACCGACGTCGATGCTGTTCCGACACAACCTATGCCCCCACCGAAACCAAGAAGAACCAAGAAGGCACAGCCTAAGACCAAGGCTACTGAGGTTGAGGCTGAGGATGCTCTACCCATCTCCAAGCTGGCTGAAAGCAGCAAATCTCAACCTTCCGCTGGGAAGAGGCGTGTAGAATCCCAGCCATCAGAATCTACTCAACCCATGCGACGACCTCGGGGTCCAAAAAATCTGATGTTCCTTGGGCTCCCCAGATTACTCTGGAAGATAGGCCCATAATGACCAATGAAAGCACCGATGACATTAATGTCGGCGCTGCCCTTACTACGGCGCTGCTCCTTCCTGGTGATTTGGAGCGGAATGCCGGGTATAGTGAATATGAGAACTATGCCTTAATGCTCCAGCACTCTGTTCAAGTAAGCGTTCCTGCTTAGTACTTTTTCTTCTATTCTGTTTTGTACTTAAAAATATTTTCTAACACTTCTGTTTTCTTTCAGGCCATCCAGCATGCCCACTCATTCTCAATGCAATCTTTCCAGAATCGAGAGAAGTTGGTCGACCTGAGGAGGGAGGTTTCTTCCCTTAAGAAGGAGAATAAATCTCTTGAATTAAAGATGAAAAAATTGGAGGATCAGGCCGAGGCTGCCACCAAAGCCCAAACCTTAGCCGAGGAAAAGGCTGAATCTGCTGAGGCCATCAAGACAGTTGCTGAATCCCAAAAGAAAGAGGCCGAGGCGAGAGCGGCCCAGGCCGAGAAGGAACTTCAGGAAGCCTTGGCCACGAAGGAAGCCGAAATCAAAAAGGTTGATGAGAAGGCGTATGCTCAGGGCGTGGCCGACGTCACTGAGGATTACAAGCTTCAAGTTAGGCAAGCATGCAACAGGGGATTTTCCCTTAGTTGGATGTCCCTAATAAAAAAACTTGATCTCCTTGTTGACTCGCCTTTCCGCAATGCTGATGCTATTCCTCTCCTATTTCCTCCACCTCCACCTCCAAGCCAAGCTGAAGATGAATCAGAGTCTGAGGCTGAGGATGAAAACAACAATGATGATGAGGCCCTAGTGAGGAAATCCAAGGATGCTGCTGAAGCCAAGTCCTTTCCTTCCACTGAGCAGGTCATCAACTTAACTCAAGATGAAGAGGATGGTGAGGTTGAGGAGGTGTCCAAGGAGGCTGTTCCAGGGCAGCTATCATCCGACCTTCTTCTGGCTGAAAGAAGTCTTGATAAAACAATAGCAGAGATTGACGCCGATCTGGCGGCAGAGAAGGTTGCCGAAGTGGTTTCGCAAGAAACTTCCGAGGTCCAGACCCAAACTGCTCCTGGGGCTGAGGAATCACAACTTTGATGTCTTTCTTTTTTTTGTACTTTGTTCTTTGTTTCAATTTCTAGACAATGTAAGCTCCGGCCGATGTGTGTATACAACTGCAACTGTTTTCCTCTGAATGCTTCAATTTTTATTTTCTCTGGATTACTTCTGTGTGATTCTATACTTAGCATGTGTTGCACGCCTTTCATATCTTGCCACCTTTGTGCAATCTTCTCGGGGTAACATACCTCGGGTATAATAACTACAAGCTTTACTTCGGCAAGATACTGTCCTGCAAACTTGTCATAGATTTTAACAAGTATGAAACATGTACTATACAATGTTAACTTTGCCATCTTCGTATCAAATTTCAACAAGTATGTAAACAGTAATCTCGGTCTAACCTACTTGTAAATTGCTACAAATTTCAACAAGTGTTAACATATACTGTAAACTGTTCTCAAGTTATAACAAGTGTTAAATAATGATCTACTTGTAAATTGCTACAAATTTCAACAAGTGTTTAAACAATATACTTAGCTTTTACTTCAACCTGTAAATTGCTGCAAATTTCAACGGATGATCACATGTTGGCTTAATATCAGCTTGTAAATTGCTACAAATTTCAACAAGCGTTAAGCATCTTCCTTTGGTTTAGACAACCTATATATTTCTATAAGGGCTTTAAGCAATAACTTCGGCTTCACTTCAGTTTGTAAATTGCTACAAATTTCAACAAGCGAAGAGAAGTAGTAATCTCGGCTTAATTTCAACTTGTAAATTGCTATGAATTTCAACAAGTGAAGATAAGGAATCAGCTTAATTCCAACTTGTAAATTGCTACAAATTTCAACAAGTGAAGACAAGGAATCAGCTTGACTCCAACTTGTAAATTGCTACAAATTTCAACAAGTGAAGACAAGGAATCAGCTTAATTTAACTTCAACTTATAAATTGCTACAAATTTCAAAAAGTGAAGATAAACAATAATCTCGGCTTAACTTCAACTTATAAATTGTTATGAATTTCAACAAGTGAAGATAAGGAATCAGCTTAATTCCAACTTGTAAATTGCTACAAATTTCAAGTCGACAAGTGATTATGGAATATCTGCGGCTTATGCAACTTGTAATTGCTACAAATTTCAACAAGTGAAATAAGGAATCAGCTTAATTCCCACTTGTAATATTGCTACAAATTTTCAACAATTGAATTAAGAATATATTCGGCTTCACTTCAACTTGTAAATTGTTAACAAATTTCAACAAGTGAAGATAAGGAATCAGCTTAATTCCAACTTGTAAATGCTACAAATTTCAACAAGTGAATTAAGAATAATCTCGGCTTAACTTCAACTTGTAAATTGCTTACAAATTTCAACATGAAGATAAGGAATCAGCTTAATTTCAACTTGTAAATGCACAAATTTAACAAAGTGAATTAAGGAATAATCTCTGCTTAACTTCGGTTAAGCATCATCTCGGTGTAACCAACTTGTAAATTGTTACAAATTTCAACAAGTGGTAAACGCATTCTGTTCTCATGCCCCCAATGTGAACCTGAGTTCTACTTGGTTCTCATTATTATGTCTCCAAAGAATATGTAATTTTATCAGTCATATGTGTTGAAAGAACTCTGAAAAAACTTTATTGATGACATTAGCCAAAAAAAAATGCAATCTAATGATAGAAAAATTCAAATTACAAGTGTCCAAGTCTGGCAGTGTTTTGCCTTGTTATCTTCAAGCCGATAAGCTCCATTGCTAACTAAAAGTAATTCTGTTGGGTCCCTTCCTAGTTTGGGCCAAGCTTGCCTCTCTGGATCCTTTTTTGTTGCCGACGACTTTTCTCAAGACTAGGTCGCCGACTTGAAATTCTCTTGGATTAACCTTCTGTGTGTAAGCTCTGGCAAACTGTTGCTGGTAACTGCTAGCTGAATTGTAGCTTTTTCTCTTCGTTCTTCCAGAAGATCCAGATCTCGGCCAAGAGTATGTCATTGGTGCCATCTCTTACTCCCTGGTCCTGATCCCTGGGATGCCGATCTCTAATGGGATGACTGCTTCTGGCCATAAGCCATGGCAAAGGGGGATTCCCCTGTTGATCTTCTCGGTGTAGTCCGATATGCCCAAAGCACGTTGGGCAATTCGTCTACCCACTTCCTTTTGCTGCCTGCAGTCTTCTTTATTCCATCCAAAATTACTTTGTTGAGATGCTTCTGCTTGCCCATTACTTTGGGGAAACTTGGTGTTGAAAAGTAATTTTTGATCTTGAATTTCGCACAAAATTTCTTGATGAGTTTGCTGTCAAACTGTGTTCCGTTGTCGGCAACTATTACTCTTGGAATCCCAAATCTGGTGATGATGTTTCTCCATATAAAGTTCTTGACGTCCCATCTCGGATTTTGGCAAGAGTTTCTGCCTCTATCCATTTTGTAAAGTAATCTGTTGCCACCAGCAAGTATTTTCTCTGTCCAGTTGCCTAGGAAGTTTCCCAACCAGATCCCATGCCCCATTGGGCAAACGGCCAGGGGCTTGGATACTGGCTTAGTCACAGCTCCTGATGTATCAAGGTCAAACTTTTGGCATTAGTTCAACACTTCTTTACGTTAGGCTTCAGCATCCCTTCTGCATGGTAATGGCCCTGTGAGCTAGTGATCTACCCTCAGCATGGCTTCCATAAATTCCTTCATGGATTTCATATAGGAAATCTTCAACCTGTAAAGGGTGTACGCACCTTAAAAGTGGTCCAGTGAAGGACCTTCTGTAGAGGTGTCCATCTTCTGTCAGACAGAATCTTGCCGATTTCAGCCTAACTTTGTGTGCCTCCTTACGATCTTCTGGCAGCTTTCCTTTTTTCAGGAATGCAACAATTGTATCCATCCAGCTTGGCCCCATGTCCACACACATTGCTTGCTGTTTTTTGTTCTCTTTTTTCTATGCTCGGGCCCGACATATAGTCGATCATAATTGTCCTTCTTTTTCCAGTCTGTATTGAACTTGCCAGGTTAGCCAACGCGTCAGCGTGGGTGTTGTCATCTCGGCTAACTTGGAGTAGTCGGCAGTTCTGAAATAGGGCTGCCAATCTGATGACCTCTTTTGCGTATGCCGACATCCTTTCGTCCCTGGCTGCAAATTCACCTATGTACTGGTTAACAATAAGTTGTGAATCACAAAAAAGTATTACCTCATCTGCTTCTGCTGCTGCTGTCGCCAGTTTTAGCCCTGCAATTAATGCTTCGTATTCCGCTTCATTGTTTGAGGCCTTGAACCCCAAACGGATGGACTGTTCTATTATTTCTCCATCTGGAGATATCAGCAGTACTCCTGCCCCTGCGCCTTGTCGGTTTGAACTTCCATCGACAAACAGTCTGAATGAGTCGCCGATGAAGATGCTGCAGGGTCTGAGTTTTTCCTTCCTTTGCTCTTTGGTCTTTGGCTGAGATTCTCCTTGCTTGCTGGGACAATGCTCATCCTGGCTCAACGGAGCCTAATGTTCGGTGGTTTCGGGGGTGAATTCTGCCACGAAGTCGGCCAAAACTTGGCCTTTAATCGCTGTTCTCGGCCTGAACTCCAGATCATACTAACCTAGGGCTACGGCCCATCTTGCTATCCTTCCTGTTAAGTCTCCTTGCTGTAATAAGGACTTCAATGGATGCTCTGTTAAGACCACAATTTTATGTGCCTGAAAGTAATGGTTCAGCTTCTTTGAAGCCATTACTAAGGCTAGCATTAATTTCTCCAGTGGTAGATACCTTGTTTCTGCGCTGGCCAGAGTTTTGCTTACATAGTAAACAGCCTTTTGCTCCCCTTTTTCTTCTCGGATTAGTACTGCACTGATGGCGTGTTCTGAAACTGCCAAGTACAAATGTAGTTCTTCCCCTGGTTCTGGATTGGAAAGAACCGGAGTCGTGGTCAAGTACTTCTTTAGGTCGGTTAAAGCGGCTTCGCATTCTTCTGTCCACAGAAAGTCTGTG